TTCAGGATGGTATCCTTGACTTTGGCCAAAAGTCACCAGTTTTTCCTCTTGCTGGTTTCAGCATGGGCACTTGGATTCCACAGGAATTCATAGTGTAGGGGACTTCTGTTGGACACCTGCTGGTACTCTAGGTTCTTTCCTGTACCAAACTTTTTTCTGGACTCTTCATATATGAAATCATTCTCCCAGCATAGACCCAAATCTTACTCAGAAATGTTTGGATCTCCTCTTCTGTGGTGCAATTACCTTTCGTGAAGCTTATACCCAGGAGCATCATCAAGATACCACTTTTAGGCAATGCATTATCACCACTCAGACTCCTATTGCTGGGGACACCCAGTTCACTGAAAAGAGCATTGACATCACTACTGGGGTCAACTTCTTCAATTCAAGGCCAAAGAGCAGCTCCATGTACTCAGAGATTCTCCTGAGGATCTCAGGGAAATGGTCCTTGCACTTTTTGTTAACAATGTTCAGCAATGCTGCTTTTGTCATGGGATCTTTAATTTTACATTTCTCCAGCAGAAATTCTATTACCAAACTTCCCTTCCAGAATAGAAGGTCTCTGTGTGAGCTCCAGTGGAGGCTCTTGCTGGAGAGGTGCTTGGTTTTTCCTCATTTTGGCTCTTGGCATGTTCATCAGATCTTGTGCATGAAACATCTACAGAAGCAGTGATGATGCAGGGGGCTCTCTTAGATTCCTGGGGAATGCCAGTAGAAAGAGAGCTCTGAAGAGCACTTCCCAAAACAGGAGAAAAAGAGGAGAGGGACTCTTCCTCTCCTGCAGTGACGTGAGCACCCTGGTAGCATTTCTCATGAGTGTGGAACTTCCTCTTCTGACCCCAAGGCATGACTATGGGCAGGGACAGCAGACAGAAGTGTGACTAGGGTCACAGGTGAGACGGGCACCTGGTGGAAGGAGAATGAAATGGTGTAAGCACCGTCAGCAGGGAGAGACCACCTTGGCTCTAACCAAGGCTGCCAATGCAGGTTTCTCTGAGATCACTGCTCTAGGAATCTACTGGGCAATTGTTCTCCCATCAGTCTGTCCCCTGAGAACCCGGTAAAGCAACTTAGAGTGAGTCATAGGCTGCAGCTTGGCAACCCAGCTTGGGGTCTACTAGAGTGGCAGCAGAGACTAATTGTGGAGCTCCCTGTGTTCTGGGGTTGGGGAGTACATTCAGGTGATATTCCACATCATTATGCTAACTGTTGACAGGGCCTGGTACCTCTTTCCTGTTCTGCTCAGAAGTTGACACTTGGAAGCCCCTGGAACCCACATAAAGCGAGAGAGTGCCTCAGCCCACCACCCCTGTCAAGGATGACAACTTTGAGGGATCTTTTCTGTCTTGGGATCACTGGACCCTCAGTCCTTATTCAGAGTTCTCATATTGGCTCCACGTTGGCTCCGTGTAGGGCCTGGGACCCCTCTTCTGCTCTATCATGGCTTCACTTTCTTATTAAGGAGATCACCTCCCTTAGACCCAATATAAAACAATGTGGAAGCCTCTCCCTGACAGTCCTGCTATGGGTTTTCAAATGCTGAAAGCCAGGGTGGGTGCTGGTATTATGTTGCCCCTTTTGTTGGGGGAAGGAATACGATCACCTTAGTCTTCACCAAGGGTCCTCAATTTGACTCCTAGAAGGACCTGCAGCTTCTCTGTTCTTTGATCTGAAGGCATCTCCTCACAGCAAGGCCCAGAACTCTCTGAGACCTAGTAGAGGGAAGGGAGGGCAGCCTTATTGGGCCATACCTGCCTGTAGTCTCCTGAGGCAGAAAGCTGTGGCAGGCATTTTGGGCCTCATGAGGATTGGCCTCACCAGCCCTTGCCCAGATTCTTCATTTTGACTCATGACAGTGCCCACAGTTTCTCCCTTTCGTGGCTTGTCACCATCTCCCTCAGAATAAGGGCCTCATTTCTCTGTCACCCTGAGGAGGAATTGAGGGGTGCCTCTGCTCTGCCTGACATTTATCCCTGAGTCTCCCAGGACTAACAGTAGGGGAGAGATTATGTGCTGCCTCCACTGTTGCAGGTTTCATGTTCTGCTCCATCCTCATGGTCCTCACCCTGACTCCTGGCTCAACCTGGTAATGTTCTCTATGATGAGATGGCCAACCTCAGACCAAGTTCCTCACCACGTGGAGTCCCCAGATGTGGAAGTCAAAGTGATCTCACTGCAGCTATTAGGGGATTCTGAGAACTAATAGCAAGAGAAAGACTCCATGGGACTCCTCTGTTCAAGGGTTTGCAACTCCTTGAGTCCTCACTCAGCCAGGATCTCAGACTCCTCCCTCTAGTGATGCGAGTCCTACAGGGCGAGGAGAATGGCTGACATATCCGGTTATTTGTGTCTGGGGATTTCCAGGGCTGAAAGGGGTGGAGCTATGTGGGTTCCTTTCTCTTCTAGGTTGGTTGCTCCCCTAAGTCCTTGCTCAGAGTCCTCACAATGAACATTCCCAAGACCTAGAGGCCTGTCTGCTCATATACAGATTTAAAGTCCCTAATACTATCAAATGGTCACCTACGGCTGACAGTACCTGAGGGATTCTGCGTTGTCTGTACTGTTAGGATTTGAGTGGTTCCTTCCATTCTCACGGTCCTCGGCTTGACTGTTTGTATGACCTGGAATTTATCCCTGTGGTAACCTCAGACTGACCCCTTAGACCAGGTGCCTTACCTCCTTGAGATGCCTTAAAAGGAAATGAGTGGGACTCATCATCTCAGAATTTCCTGGTTTGCCAGGGAGAGACACCAATGGCAGGGCTTCGTGTAGCTCCAACTGTTCTAGGAGGAGTACCATCATCCCTGTTTAGGGTCAGCAGTGTGACTCCTATTAAACATCCTCTGCTGAATAGGGTTGTTCCCATTAGAATAAGGCTCTCACTTCCTTGAGACCACTGCCAGAGGAACTGAGGGGGCACTTCAGTCTGAGAGTTCTGCCCTGGTCCTCCTAGGGCTGACAATAGGGACAGGACACTGCATTCCCACTGTTCTTGGGTGAGTGGTCTCCTCTATCCTCCCTCAGCATCTTTACCTTGACTCCTACCTAATGAAATCTGAAACTCCACTCTCCACTGACTCAAGGCTGCACTCCTCTGACCAAGGCCATATCTTCCTGGAATCTCCCAGCTGGAAGTTAGGAACAGCCACATCTGGCCACAGTTATTGAGGATCCTCTGAGGAATAATAGCAGGGTCAGAATCTGACAAGATTCCACTGTTTTGGAGTCAGTGGCTCCCTCAGTTCTCACTCAGGGTTCTAACATGGATTTGGGGATGTAGAACTCCTTCCTCTACTAAGCTGAGTCTGCCAGCCTCAAGCCAAAGCTTTTCCTTTACTGAGAAACCAGAGGGGGAAGTCAGGGTGCTACTCCTTGGCTACCCCAGTGTCCTCACCTTAAATCTAATCCAGGCTCGTGAGGATCTCCTTCATGGGCAGAATCGGAGCTACTGCCATGAGATCAAAGCCTTTATCTCCCTGGGGCACCAGTAGAAGCCCTAGAGAAAATGAGGAGGAGCCTCAACCAGATAGCCCTGCCTATGGCCACCCAAGGCAGAAAGCAAGATAAAGCTTTAAGAGCCCCTACTGTTCTGGGTGGATCATTCCTCATTTCTCATTCAGAGTCCTCTTCTTGATAGTTTTCAGAGGCTGAGATCCTCCTCCCAATAACCAGAGCACACCACCCTTAGACCAGGACTCTTATGTACCTGAGAACTTGAATAAATAGAGAAATTTTAGCTTGCTGCTATAGCTTGGGCCTTCTAGATCTGAGAGTAGGCAGGGCCTGGTCTCTCAGTGACCCCGATATTCTGAGGCAGTGATCTCCAGAATCCTCATTTATGGGGGTTCTCATCATGCCTCCTTTCTGTTAAGCCTGCTGGGAAATGTCACACACCTGCAAACAATTGAGCAGGTTCCCTACTGGCAAACCTTGCAGACAATGGCTCCCTGTCCCAGGTTCTGTATGAGACAGGGAAGCTGTACCACAAGGCAGGAGGCCCCAGACAGGTGGTGGGCTGTCAGTGAAAAAAGCACACTGATCTATTCTTTGCTTTGCCAGCCAGACTTAGCCTATTATGTACTTTGCTTTGAGGATATTTAATTTCTATGGGGAAAGGGCAGAGCAAGATGATTTGGGGAGCTCCTGATCTTATTGGGTTATCTGATGTTGCATATCCAGATGATCATACTGTCACTGTGTATTATTTTTTCTTTTAGCAATTCATACTACTCATTTATTCAGCATTATGATTATTCTAGTTGTATATTCCAAAGAAGTGCTTTGGGTACAGTGTCCTTTTAATGCTCTGATAAGCATTTTGGGCAGTGAGAGGAAAAATGAATTAAAAGACACAAAGTCTGGCTCAGGCTGAGAGGACTGGAAAATGTGTGCTCTAGATGAATCCAGACCAGAGATCTAATCCCAGCTCTGTCAATTACAAGCTTGTGAGCTTTTAGAAATGTGCAATTTATTCATTTTGAAGTGAGTCTGCTAAACCCCATCTTGTAGGAATTTTGGGGTATAAATACTGTCCATAAAAAATATGGCATACTAAGTAGGAAATGCTGAGTCTGTCATAAATGACAGTTACTATAGTATGTGTTTTTATATAAATTATTAATTTTTAATTTTCCTAAGGATATATTAAGAAACAAAATTACCACATCTTGAAAATATTTGGGACAATTTAAGCCTATGCAAGTTCTTTGAATGTAGCCGCCTTTTTTCAAGAAGGTTTTTAGTGAACTCATTCTGGCTTATATTGATCACTGCATTTCATGTGATGATTTTAAACCCAGAAAATACCACCCTGCAATCAGAAAGGCTTTTTGATGCAGTAGACAACATAGAATATAAAGTGCACTAGAACAAAACAAACGGCAGTCTTAATAACCTAAATAAATCCAAGTATCCTTTATTTATACTAAAAGAAATAGGAAAAGGAATTAGGCAAACCAAGAATTAAACAAACTTTTACATTTCTGTTTTTCCTTTTCTTTCTCGTCATATTATGATGTCAACTTTTTTACTGTGGAGTTCTTAAAATTCATATCAAAATCCATTTTCTATTACCATGTTATCTAGTTCTGAATTACAACGAAAATATGTTGTGTGATTTTGTTTTATTAATACCCAAACCGTAACTTTCAAATTGGTTAAACAGCCATGAATGTGAGAGCTATGTTTTTGATAACTGTATAATCTGAAGCAAAATAAACCTTCACTTAACAGAAACAATCTTAAAAATTGACAAAGAAATAAAACATAAATCTACAAGTTACTCATGTATAACAAGACAAAAGAAAGAGATATATCTTGTTCCCTCCAGCCTCTACTATACTGCAGTACTTAGAAGGCTCATTACTCTCTTCTAACATAAAGCGAAAATTCTAATTCAGACCTCCCTAGAAATGGGAGGATCTGTAGGATGTGGCCCCATAAGGTGCCCTGGCCAAGGGAATAGTGCCAGTTCTGCCTTAAGCTCTCAGTCTCAATGCTCTCTCTACCTCATCCATCAAAGCGTCTTCATACAGATGGGGGTATAAACCAGGGCTGGTGTTATTGCTCTTGGCCAAAACACGCAGGACTTTCATCTTGGTGGTTTCAGCATGGGCTCGTGGACCCCACAGGAACTCATAGCGTGGAGGATCACTGTTGCGCACCTGCCGGTAAACCACGTACTTATCTTGCACCAAATCCTCAGTAATGAGCTTCTGGGGATCCCCATAGATTGGGTGTGTCATCCCAGCATAGATCCCCAAACAACTCAGGAACTCCCAGACCTCCTCTTCAGTGGCACGGTTACCTTTCATGAAGATCACACCCAGGACCGACATCAGGAGACCCGACTTCCGCAGCCCCTTAGCATCATTCAGAATTCCTTCACTGGAGAGACCCAGCTTGCTAACAAGGGTGTAGGACTCGCCGCTGGAATCCATTTCTTTCAATTCAACGCCAAAGGCCACCGCCAAACGTTCGGAGGTTCTGTTGAGGATCTCAGGGAAGTAGTGCTTGTAACGTTTGCCAACACGCTTCAGCATGTCTGCCTTCAAAATGGACTCTTTCTTCTCAAACTTCTCCTGCAGCAATTGCACCAATGCGCACGCCTTCCTCTTTAGAGGATCTTGGCTTAAGCGCTTAAAAATGATGGCTTTCTGTGAGGCTCTTACACTTTCCTCATCTTGACCCTTGGCAGCCACATCATATTTTGAGCCTGAAATACCTGCATCAGGAAAGCCAGTGGGTGAAGCTCCCTGAGACTCCTGAGAAATGGAGGCATCAGGGGAGGTGCTCGGACTGTTCTCATCTTGACCCTTGACAGCCACTTCAGATTTTGAGCATGAAACACCTGCATCAGGAGAGCCAGTGGGTGAAGCTCCCTGAGACTCCTGAGAAATGGAGGCATCAGGGGAGGTGCTCGGACTTTTCTCATCTTGACCCTTGACAGCCACTTCAGATTTTGAGCATGAAACACCTGCATCAGGAGAGCCAGTGGGTGAAGCTCCCTGAGACTCCTGGGGAATGGAGGCTTCAAGGGAGGTGCTTGCACTTTTCTCATCTTGGCCCTTGGCAGCCACATCAGATTTTGAGCATGAAATACCTGCATCAGGAGAGCCAGTGGGTGAAACTCCCTGAGACTCCTGAGGAATGGAGGCTTTGGGGGAGGTGCTTGCACTTTTCTCATCTTGGCCCTTAGCAGCCACATCAGATTTTAAGCATGAAACAACTGCATCAGGAGACCCAGTGGGTGACACTCCCTGAGACTCCTGAGGAACGGAGGCATCAGAAGACCTACGACGAGTCCCCAGACAATCGTGAGAAGAGGATGAGGAAGAGTGGGACTCTTCTTGCTTCTCTGCAGTGACCTGGGGACCTGTGAGACCCTGTGGCTGACCATGGGTCTCCTGGCGTTTCTCACGGGCACGGAGCTTACTCTTCTGACCCCGAGGCATTATGGCTGAGTGTGGGTAAGAAGACTGGGAAGGCTGGTACCTGGATGGGAGAGAGTGATGTCACGTCAATACCTTCGGCTGAGAGTGACCATCTTGGCTTTAACTAGCGCCCCTTCTGCAGGTTTCTGCAAAACAACTGCTCTAGGAACCCACAGGACTCCTGTTCTCCTGGTCAGTTTGTCTCCTTCGAACTCAGGAGGAAGTTAGAGTATTAGGCTCTAGAATGACAGCCCATTTTGGGGCTTATTGAGGTGACAGCACCGGCTGGCAGTGGATGACCTTCCGTTCAGGGGTCGGATCCTCTCTGTTTACATTCAGGATCATCATTAAAATTGTTGACAAGACCCAGAGGCCCATTTCCCTGTGCCGCTCTGAAATTGACACTAGCAATTTTTACAATACTAACCAGCAGGAAATAAGGAAGCACTTCTGCCCAACACTTCACTCCGGGGACACGCAGACCGCCTAGGGCTGACAACAGCGGAGGCATTTTAGTGCTCTTCCTGTTATAGTGAGAACGGTCCTCACGGTAATTAGACTCCTCACCCTGACTCTTCCCACAACCTGGAAATCGCCCTCACTAACCTGCTGCCATCTCCTTACAACCAGGCGCCTACCTCTCTGACTTTCACAGGGACAAAGTGAGAATGCACCTCAGTCTCTAGAGACCTGCCCAGACCCCCAGGCTAACGTCAAGGGCAGAGTTCGGTGCAACCCGTTATGGTACATGGAGTTCCCTCAGTCCTAAGAAGGGTCCTCTTAACTATGTAGGGCCTGAGATTTCTCCCTCTACTGACCTACGTCCACCAGCCTTGGACCAAGGCCTTCATGTTCTACAACATGATGGAAAAAATGAATGGACTTTGGGCCTAACAGCCATGCTTGGGGACTCCTCCGGGACCAGCTTGGGGCAGGTTGGAGCAGGGCTCTGTGGAGCCGCCATTTTTAGGGGGAAGGGGGTTGAAGTTGGGGAATGCCCCCCCAGTTCTAGGTCAGGATACCCACCAAGACAGCTGAGAAGATCTGGGACACCTCCTTCCGCTGACGTAACACAGCACTTTTCAGACTGAGGCGTGCTGCTCAGACCCCTTTCTAGGTGGAAGTCAGGAGGAACCACTTCCGGCCACGCCCACCTGGCCCTCCCAGCGTAACAGCAGCTGCGGGCTCTGTCACTCCCCCTTGTGTTCTGTGGGTGCAGCAGATTCCAGGGAAGTCACATAAAGTTCTTTCAGGGGCTTTTCGTGGACCCTTGGACTTCTCTATCTGTTGAGCTGAATCAGTCAACCTGAGATAGAGGCTCTCATTCCCTGAGAGTTCAGAGTAGGAAGTCAGGTGCAGCCTGAGCCCAGAAGCCATGCCGGGACCTTCCAAGACTGATGGTAGGGGTGGGGCTCTGTGGGACCCCCTTTTTGTAATGAACTTTGCCCTCATCCCTTACTCAGTGTCGTCGCTTCATTCTTGCCATGCCCCCTCTAGTGACTTGAGGACACCCTCTCAGACTAGACTTCAACTTCCTGAGACTCCTCATGTGAAATTCGGTTACACCTCACCTGGCCACTACTGCCTGGGGCCTCCTGAACCTGGCTGCAGCTATTAAGTTGTGATGCAAGATCAGGGAATGAAGGGAGATTTGGGGGGCACTCTTGTCTCTTCTGCTGTGTGGAGCCCCTCAGTCCTCACTCAGGGTCCTCACATTGACTGCTGGCAGTGTCTCAGTTTTCTCCATTTTCTGATGTAAATTCATCCCCTTCCTCTGACTAGATCCTGTAAAATTCATAAGGAGAAAGTGAGAGGACTTCTTAGCCTGACAACTATGTCTGGGACTTCTCTCTTGGCTGACATCAGTGTCTGTATTCAACACTTTCATGAGTGAATTTCTACCATTATCTTGTGTGACTCACTGCAATCTTTGCTATCCTAATTTAGTCCATTCTTTATATTATATTAAAATAATACGAATTTAAAGGCCAGTCCACTTCCACTAAAGAAGTTTCAGGTGGTTATTAGCATAGTGTCTGGATTCATACTTCTTCAGCCTACCCAGAAGTTTTTGCTGTCCCAATATTACCCCATGGAACTGGCACATAGGGTCTGAGTTCCTGACTGAATTTCCTTTAGATAAGCAGAAAAAAAAAAAAAATGCATTGTGCAATGGCACAGCGAAGGAAGCAAAGACCAAAGTTTTAAAGCTTTTTCTCTAGCCAATTCCGTTATCTGCCTCTATTGTAGGCTACAGACCTGTCTCTACTTCAGTGCATGCCCCTAGCTGCCCACACACCAGTTCTTGTTCAATATAAACTGACCGTCTCTCAGGGATCTCATTTTTGTTTGCTGTTGTTAATATTGCCTTTTTTTTTTTAATTCTTCCTTTAACTTCTGTATGGTTGAGTTTGGTCATGGGAAAGAACTGCCCAGGTTTGGTTGTCATCTTCACAGCTATGGCTAAGGCAGTGAATCTGTAAACATTTTAAGGAGAATCAACATCTTTACAATATCTCCTCCACAGTAAATAAACATAGTATACTGCTTTATTGGAGACTTATTTTTCCTAAGTCTTTCAGTAAATTTTTATAGCCGTCTCCTTAATGAACAGGTACATTTCTATTTGGTTTTCTGTTAGATATATTTTGGATATTGTTGCTGTTGTGAAAGGCATATTTCACATTACATGTTATAATTAGTTATTGATTTTGTGTGACTATACTCCTGACTTACCTATAGTGATCTTTTGTACACACATTTTCTTAATTTCCTTATACATTTAAATATTTTTGCACCAATTACGTTGTTTTGTGTTTTTTTTTTTTTAATAGGAGATTCTATTATCACAATTATCTCCTTTTGTTATTGTTACCTCTAATTTACTTGGCATTATTATGGTTGTGGACTATAGATGTATTTTCATCCAATTGTCAGCAGTAGGGTTTATATTATACAGGTGTATATTCTTCTGGACTCTATTTGGGATGTTTGTAATGTTTCACATTCAGTATGTCAATTTATAGATTTTACAAGACGGAAATTCTCTCCTAATGTAAGTTTGCTAAAAGTTACTATCATGCACTGGTGTTGAGGGATTTTTAAGGCTCTTTCTTTACCCCTGCACACGATCACATGCTTTTTCACCATTTTTGGTAACAGTGATTTCCAATTGATAATATTTTCTAATATGATATCATCTTTTCATTTCTTGGATACAGGCTATTCATTAATTCACTGCTATATTGGATATGCCTATATTGGATATACTATGAATTTATTGAGAATATTTTGTCTCTATGTGAATGAACTTGTCTTAAATGTTATTTTATTGGAATATCTTCATCTGGTCTTTGTGTCAATGAAAGCAAGCCTGTGAAAATGATGGAGTAATTCTCCCAATCTTTTTGTGTTGTTTGGAAGAGTTTACATGAAGTGGTGACTAGTTTCTTCTTCACCATTTGATGTAATGGGTCTCTAAACCTGGCTGGTCCTAAAACAGTTTGATGGTACTTTGGGTTTGGACTATAGTTTCAGTTTCTACTGTGCATTCAAAGAGTTCTGTAATTTTATGGGTCGTTTTAGTCATTTTCAGTTTGCTAAAAATTGTTCCATTTTACTTAGGTTTTCATATTTAAAAGCATTATATTCATAATAAAATCCTGTTATGGAAATTCTCAAATATATGCAGTAGTACAGAGAATAGAATAATGAACTCAATTAGCTAAGATTTGTCATGAATAATCTTCAATTTTTATAAGTAGAATATTATTCATATTAAAGTTTATTGGCAAGTGCACCCCAGAGGTGATACGGTACAGTTTCATTAAGAGATAGATAATTTCTGTTATTTCCTTTGTGATGATGTTGGCAGCCATCACTTTTATCCTTTTATCTGTCACGGGTTACAAGATGGTAATTCTCTGATTCCAAAATTCTTTTGAGTTTGTTACCCAAAATTTTTCAGATAGAACCTTCTCCTTGTCCATCATTTGTTATCCTGAGATACAGATAATACTTACAGTGTTCCCTATTAGCATTACATCTTTTCTACACCCAAGTTTTGTATAATTTTACTTATCTAATATCATTTATTTCTGCTTTTTTCATTTGTAATTGATAATACTCATACACATTGTTATATAAATCTTTTCAAAGAGCTGGCTTTTACTAGTTGGTTCGACTATTTTCTCATTTATCACTTTTGAATTTATCTTCATTATTTCCTACCTTTTCTTTGTGTTTAATATGCTATTCATTCTCTAGCTTCTTGAATTGTTACAATGTTTCAAACATTTTTATAGTAAATCTATTTAATGCAATAAATATCCCTGTAAGTACTGCTTGGGCTACTTTTCAACAATTATGCTAATAGAACTTTATGTGTAGAGCTCAATTTTTTTACAAGCTGAACATATATCTCTTAATGCTCTATAATATTTTCAATATATAAATATAAATATATGTATGTATTTTGTGTATATGTTTATGCATACAAAAACTAGGGAGTGTAAAATTTATTTAGGACAGAAACAATTATTTAAAGGAGGTTTAAAGAGCCATGGTGTGTTGTGTTGTGTTATATTTTACTTAATGATAGAAGACACTTGAGCAAATTTAACTACTAGTGACAGAATGGCTGTTTTCTTAAGGAGTGAAAGAGTTTCAGATGAGAAAATCAATACAAATAATTAGCTAACTGCAAATATTCATGGGTTATTCCAGGAAAACAAACTACTCTAAATATGTAACGCAGGGATGGAGTTTTAATGGGCATACTTTATTTTGTAGAGCGGTTTTCAAGTTTACAGAAAACTTCAGTGGTAAGTACAAAGAATTCTCATATACCCTCTCATCGGTTCACACACTGTTTCTTGTATGATTAACATCGTACATTAATGTGGTATACTTGTTAAAATTGATGAGCTAATATTGATTCATTTTTATTAACTAAAGTCAACAGTTTATATTAGGTTTAATCTTTCTGTTATATATCCTATGGGTTTTCAAAAATGAATGACATGTATACACTATGACAGCATCATACAGAACAGTTTCACCATACTAAAAAAAATCCACTGTGCTCCCCTTATTCCCCCATTCCCCAGAACCCCCTTTTTTTAACTGTCTCCATAATTTTGCCTTTTCCAGAATGTTATATACTTAGAATCCTACAGCATGTAACCTTTTCAAATAGGCTACTTTCACTTAGCACTATGCATTTAGGTTCCTGCATGTCTTTTCATAGCTTAATAACACACTTTTTAATCACTAAACTATTTCATTGTATGCTTGTGGGACACTTAATTCTCATTGGTTTCTGCTAAGTTTTGACAATTAAGAATAAAGCTGCTTTGAACATTTGTGTTCAAGTTTTTGTGTGGACATCAGTTTTCAACCCATTTGGCTAAAAACCAAGGAGAGCAACTGCGGAATCATGTGAAAAGAGTATTTTCAATTTTGTAAGATGTTGACAAACTGTCTTCCAACGAGGCTGTACCATTTTTGCACCCCCATCATTACTGAATGAGAGGTTCTATTGCCCCACATCCTCTCCAGTATGTGGTCTTGTCAGTGTTTTGGATTTTATCCACTCTAATACATGTGTAGTGATATCTGATTGTTTTAATTTGCAGTTCCCTAATGATCCATGATATTAAGTATATTTTCATCTTTGTGTTTGTTTGCAGAGAATTGATATCGTTCCTTCCTAAAGATTTGACAGCATTCACCAGTGAGCTCATTTGGGACTGTTGTTTATTCTTTTGGAAGGTTATCAATCATTGATTCAATTTCTTTAATAGATATAGGCCTATTAAGATGATCTCTGTCTCCTTGTGTGAGTTTTGTTGGATTGTGTCTTTCAAGGAATTGGTCTATCTCATCTAGGTTACCAAATTGGTGGGCCTAGAATTGTTCATAATATTCCTTTACTATCATTTTAATGTCAATAGAATAATCAGTGATGGCCTTTCTTTCATTTTTGACATTAGCAATTTGTGTCTTCTCTCTTCTTAGTTAATGTAACTGGAGGTTTATTAATTTTATGAATCTTATCAAATGAAGATTTGATGACTGATGACTGCCTTAGTTTTGCTGATTTTCTCTATTGA